AACGATATGTAAACAATTTACAGCACTTTTGATTTTTTCCCAATACACCGTTCTTCCTTAAAGGCAGTGGACACAACAACTAGAGGGCGGAGCAATTATGATGACGTCACTGGGCCGATTGATGGAAGGGCGTTGAATCACACTCCCCGGCGTGATAAGAAACCTGGTCCTCTAGTGACACCCAATGACATCACCAGAACCTCCTCGCCGTTCAACCATCGTGTTCGCTGTCTTCATTTTCACAAAAAATATCACGCAGTGAACGACAACTGATCTCATCACTCCTCTTGAGCATAGCAACGAAGAAAAATAAGAGTTGCGGTGTGCCTTCCCGACGGTCACTTTGAAAAATTGGGAGGCGAGCTAGCCACCGACAGTAATGTAAACCAAAATGCCTTGCTGACAATGCCAGAAACAGTTGCAAAAACAAATTCTTCTTGAAAATTTGAATGCACTTACAGCTACTTTGCGAGAGTGCGCTTGCAGACACACCCATTCGCGGAACCGTTTTCCGCTTAGGCGCCTCGCAATCCGACGTCTCACCGTCGGCTTCTGACGATCCGCCTTCTTCATCCATCATTAAAGACGAACGCTGGCTATCGTCATCTCGATTACCTTTCTGTGGACGAATACCTGGAATTTGAATAGAATTATTTGTTGAAGCAAAATATCTTAAAATGCAAAGCTCCTAACCAAACCAACCCGTCGTCCTGTTCCTACTTGTTGGCCTAACTTTCATCTCATCTCCAAACGCCATTCCATCGGAAACGGAATCATAAGGGTCTTCCATGTTCAACATTCGTGGCAAATGCCGTCGTGGAGAACCCTGCAACGAACCCAGACGTAATTACAAATGAACATATAAAAATTTGACTGTAAGGCAAATAAGACTTTCTTCTTCTTCGTAATTAGGAAAGTTACCTCATAGCCTATATCGGCTGGCGGTGGGGGATTAGATGGAGGTGGAGGTATGAAGTCCATAAGAGTGTGCTTGGGAGGACTTCGACGGCCAGCCATAGTGCCCGGCTTCGATCGACCATTTGAGCTCTCGCCAGTTCCATCAGAAGATTGGAACTAAACATCAGCGATCAGTTCGAGGAAGGAAATCAGTTTTCAGGAAAACTGGCATTTATTCGAAAAAAAAACCCTAAAAACTGAAAGGAAAAAAAACTTCAAAAGGATTGCACTCCCATGGACCGTGGTACGTTTTTTGAAGCACTAATGACCGTTTCCATTATAATTTATCAATATTTTAGCGACTATCGCTTAATGGCAACATCAGGTTACTGTTCCAGTAAATCCTAATCAAAAAAAGTTCTCCAAAATTTTCAGAAATTTTTCTGGGCATTTTTAAAGAAAAATCATTCAATAAAAAGCGTAAGAACCTGAACATAGCTAACGTCGGTGTGAGGCGGACTATCTGAATGATGGCTTGCTTGACGATGTTCAGACGCTCGACTGCCTCGGGAACGGCGACCCGTGTGGTCAGCATATCTAAAGGAAAAGCCATAGATAATCAGAATTCCAGTGATTTAATTGATGAAGTAAACCCATGCAGAGTCAACCCTGCGTTGCGCAGTTCTCAACGGCCACGTTGCGCAGTTTCGCCCGATTAGACACGTTCTCTCGCGCGAACATTCACACTCGCATGCTCGAGCCGTCTGCGTCTCCGCCCATACAGCGTGCGTTGAGGATCTCTCAACGTGCCGTTGCGAACTGCGCAACGCAGGGTTGACTCTGCCAGTTCATCGTATCTCGTCAGATGAAACGCACAACACCTCTCTATAACAACGAAGTGCACTGAATCGATTTCCGACTGAATTCTCAACACCAGCCGTTCTCAGTTGCAAAGAGGTCTAGTCCATTTTCAGATCCCGTTAGATTAAACCACATGTTGCCCATCTATGGGGAAATAAAGTAGGTATGATCATGTTCTTCTCACCAGGTCTCAGTAGTGCAGAACTTAAAAAATGCACCAGTTACCTCAAAGGCCCATCCCACGAATAAATCCTCTAACCTATCCCTCCCATGAATAAAGCCCGAATAGGGTAATTTCAGCGATTCGAAACGTGTGCATAAGGCGCTAAGTGCCTAGGACTCTCAACTATGGGCATCTTAAGCACACACGTCTACCTTGTGGTGTTGTGTTGTTTCGCTCATCGCTGTGCTCCTCCTATCGCTCTCTCGCCACACAATGCTTCTTATGGAAGCCTCATTGAAACCTCATAAACTTCCCTAAGCTCCTACCGTTTAGAGAAAAGTAGGGCCTTATTAAGGCGTTTCAGGTTGTTTCGTTTCTTTACTATGGAAAAATAGAAGAGAACTCTCAAGGAGCAAACTCGAACCGTACGCTGAGGAATGGGTCAGAGAGGGTATCCATTGACTGACCAATTCACTTCATAAATCAAATTAAATTCACTAATGGCAGGTACCAACACGCCCAAAGGGTGCTTACGCTCGCGTCTAAAGAATGAAAGTATGAACTGTATGAGCCGGGAATCTGCAAATGTGCTAGCGCAAGCGCGTTCACTTTCGTGGATTGAACAGATCTCTTACAAACTAAACATCTGCACTTTTAAGAGGTGAACATAGTGAAGAGTTAGCCACTCATGACATAGGGTCACCACAGATGTGCAGTGCACTCCGTTTTCGCCCATGGAGAGAGATCTGAAGTGGTGGATGCTCCCACTCACATGAGTTACAATGTTCACATAGCTGCTACTCCGTCCCTTCTCTCACTTGAGGTTCGTGGTAGAAACGATTGAGAAAGACGTAAGGAGACATAATCTGTAGTAATTTGCAATGAACTACCTGGCTGGCGGACCATTCGGGACCGGATTACTTGGAAGTACCGGACCTCTTAGCATACGATCATTGAGCCATGACGGTTGTTGATTTGACATGACCAACGTTGTCGTAGCATATGGTGAAGGATCGTCTTGGTACTGAAAACAGCATTATATATTTTGGGTGAAATTCACAACAAGTTCTAGTTATTTATAATTGCTGTGTTGTTTGCTATTGTTGTTTATTTACATGTGTCTTCATATCAATAACACAGCCTTATTACTCCTACCTTGATCGATTCTTATCCAGGCTGTGCCGTACTGAACAATTTTTTTGATTCTTTGGATGCTCTACAAAAGTGGGACTATTATGAAGAAGCATACCTGATTTCCGTAGAAAGTACTGAGCGTATTTCCTGGTCCTCCAGCTAATTGCGCATAATGATAGTGATGTTCAGAACCAGGTCGATTCATTGTCCCAGCCATGTAGTCATCACAAGGAGCATGGAAGAAATCTTGGTGATTTGGTGTCACTGAGTAAGGCGGATGAGCAGCTGGGCACCTGAAACAACAGTATTCACGAATGTCCACAGAACTCAACGTTGGATTTTGGAGAGATTTCAACTTCAAACCGATGCATGCACGCAGTTATAACAAGCTTTATAAATGCTCAGTAGAACAACAAGGCAGCTAAAATCTAGTTCAACCCTTGAGGAATAGCTTTGGATTGTGGCGCGCTCAAACAAGCTTTCCTCTAACTATTAGCCGTCACTAACCGAGTTCAGTATACTGGTAGCGACTGGTGAGCAGGGTCACTCGTCTGTTTGGCCGAGCTAGGTAGGGGTTGTATTTGCTATTTTCGGAAGGAAGTGGCACCGGTGGAAATTGAGGGAGTCATGGACGGGAGACATAGTTTTAGACAGGCTTTTTCTTTACGATTTTGGGAATGAAAACCTGAGAAAGAAGTGTAAAATAGACAAATCTGGAAATTTCTTGTTTTTTTATTGGAAGGAAAGTTCCTTAACACTTGTAGCTCAATTTTTGAATTTATTTTTTTATTCTTTATTTATTCAATGATCCATAACATATTGACCATTAGATACAACAACACTACGCCAACCTTCGGGCATTTGGGTGACACCGCAGAAATTAGAAATTAGGAAGATTTTTGCCAAACAACCTTCTGGTGTCGGATTTGCGCTCGTTTACGTCGTCGAGCTTCCTGTTCTCCAGGTAATGAGCAAGCGAGCAGGAAAGGTTGAAGAGGTGTATAGATAGGTTTGACGAATATGGCAGACGGGCAGCCGCGGTCCTGCCTGGCTTCAGAGTCTTGTGGCTTGAGACCGAACACCCGCGACGTTGCGCGTTGTCGTGAAGCAGGTTGACTTGTCGCTATATTCGGCGAAGCTCTTCTGCAATCTTTTCGAG